ATAGCTATAAATTTATTAAGTACTGAGAAAATAGAAGTAAACGCTTCTCACATTCTCGATATGCTAAGAAAACTAAGCGATTTAATGTGAAATTTGGTACATACCGCAACAAATTTACAATAATCATACGAGACAAGTACAATACAATAAATTACCATGTCATGAGGAAAAGACTAACTCAAGCTACTTCTCAAATAATTATGTCTTAATTTAAATAAGTTCTGGTATGACTGAATGGGAACGAAAGTGGTACACGTTTTTTTGAACCCTAACAATATCAATATTTATGATTATAAAATAATAAAACTAGAAAAATAATCTTGCTTATTGCTTGTTCGTAACACAAAACTAAAAATAATCTCTAGAAAAAGATTTAGAAAAAGAGGATTTCATGTTTGATTTAATTGGTACATTTCATATTGGAAAGTTTCTATTGGCTGAGTCGTTTGATCTGCGATTATTTCTTGTTTCTATAGGCGTATCCAAATGTAAGCCGTATTTTAAAAAAATATTAGTGAAACAGGATAAAGAGGACTTAAGAATAACATTTACAGATGCCTTTGTTGTGGATAAAAGAAAAATTACATAAAAATTAGCTTCACAGGCATTTACTAACATCTATTAACATTTAGAATCATTTAGATTTTTTTTTTGTTTTTTGAACGGATGAAAATCTTCATGAAGACGCTAAAGGTGTTTTATAGCACCAACGCGTTCCGGCTTGAGATGTCTGATACTCTTCTACTATCTTTTTTGCCGAGACTCTTCCATAAGATTCCGGTAGCTTCTTGGTTTAGGATTTCGCGGAATCTTTCGGCGGAATCTAAGGAGAGCGTTTTATTTTTCCATACTCTGTCTATCCCCTTCTTTTCCAAGGATATTCGAAATGTATTCTGATATTATATCCCAGTTCTGTTTGCTCGATATCCTCACGGCCACTATATTGTCTTATACATATGCAAATTTCGAGGTGAAATCTTTCTGTGTTCCATCTGTTGCATATAAACGCAATGTGCTTAGGGGTACCTGGCTCCTGACAATATCTGCATGCGTTGCTGGCTGTTTTCATCTCTTTCAAATCTCCTGTGGTCCGACAGAAATTGGGTTAATTATTTGCTTTTTGATGTTGACAGTTTACCCAGTTTTTTATATATTTTATCAGTGTTTTGGTCTACACTGTTTTTTATTGGTTTAGATTCCATTTCTCCTACTATCTTTCCATACTAAAGTCCTTTTCCGTGTATTTTGTACGTGGCAGGTGTCCACCGTCTCTTTAGTAAAGCTCGTTCTTTCCTCTACTAACAACGTATACCCGCTATTACCTGCGTGACGGCCGTTGATATGGTTCTATATGTGCTTATTCTTATTACCCTGTTCAATGATTGGCATTGGGTGCTAACCAGTATTTTGTCAGATTGGAGCTCCGTAGATTATCACAAAATAGACTACTTCGTGCAATGCAGTACGTTTGCTACTTCCTGGACCGCCAATATTTGGTATTAATCGCGTTAGGGCTCCTAACTTTTTAGCTTTCTCCTTTATGTATTTTATATGTGATCCAAAGCTGATTCTGTCATCTAAAATTATTCCAAGATATTTCAGTTGTCTTTTAAAACCCTAGAACCACAACATGAGATAATTGAAACACTAACCACAACTTGGGGTCGCCGATGACCCATTTTTGATGTAATTTCTGATATGACATGAAAAATATATACCTATTATAATTAAGTTTTTAGATAATTTATTATATTTTTGGTACGCTTTTTAGAAAATATAATAAAACAATATTCAGCAAGTAAACAGAAAAATGGAAGACAATAATTTTTGATACACAAAAAACATAGAAACAAATTCTAAATAAAAAAATGAAGAAAAATTAAGAATAAAATTTACAATCCTTGCAAATGCTCGACTGATATTCAACGCACATATTTTTATCACAGTGAACGCAAAATTTTTTTTGAACACTTGTCTTCTAAGGAAAGATGAGCATTTTTCAAAACTCCTCAATACAGAAGCCAAAACAAATCTATAAATTCCACCTTATTTATTTCTTCTAGATTCAAAGTATATTTTGATTTTCGAACTTTTATTTCTCCATTTGTATTTTTGACAACTATATCTAACATCTCATCTTTAAAAAAAGCTGCTATATTTATTTTAAATGTTTTGTATATTTAGCTCTTTCTTTAGGACCAGGTAAATGCGAAACAGTATTTTTGCATATGTACTTGGTCTCTTAAAACGATTACGGCCAAAAAATCCGACACGATCCTCTGTAAGTTCTATGTCCATGGGGTCCTCACTATTTTCTATCTTCTCCTGCACTTCTTGCCGTGTATATTTATCTGGTACAGAATCGTGGACTAAGAAACCATCCTCATCTTCGCTGTCTTCTTCATCTTCATCCTCTTTATCCTAGCTTCAATTATCTTCACTCAGTTTGTTTCTGTATAACTCATCCCAGAGTTCATTTTATCTAAGAGGGCGCGTTCTTTCATGCAATGCCTGTCGTGTAGCAGGATATATCTCTTGATCACCCATTTTCCTATGATGATAATAATTAAGACGGGAAAAACGAAAATAAACGTTTAAACTTACCATGCGACAATTATAACGTAAAGCACAATGTGGGGTCGAAATACATCAAATGACTTATTACCGGAGATTTTTAAAATTTAGACAAGAAACACATACGTACATAACAAGCTTTTGACAAGTACTGAAAATACATGGATCCACACCCTAGTATCGGCTTTTTTCTGGTGCGATCTTCGGTTGGTGTATACTTATCCAGCATTCGTTCATATACAGAGACTTTTTTATCCCATAATTACGCGTTTCCAGGTCCCCAGCTTCTATTACGATGGCGAGGTCACTGTGGTCATGCTTACGGGCATCATAAAGAATGTTCCATAATGTGGGTCCGAGGACCGACCCTTGCGGTACTCTAGTGTTGCCTTGTAAGCTCTCATTTCCAACACTTATGCTTTGATGACTTAGATAGCTATTTGTGATATTTAGTGGGTATGATTTGTTCCCAAGATGCCGTATTGAATGCGTTTTTAATATCGACCGTTATTATTATCATTCATCTACTATTTATTCTCTTTGTTTTTTCCACTACAGTTTCGACAGCTTGCATGGTCAATCTGTTTTTTGGTAAGAAATCTTCTTTCAAACAGCTTCCCCATAACACTCAGCAGGCACACCGTTTGGTATGAGGCAGCAGCCTAGATATCTAGTCCTTTTCCCTTCTAAATTGGTACAACTCGTGCCTCTTTCCAGATCTTTGGAAAATGTTGCTCTCTGAGTAGCTTATTGAAAATATCTAGAATGGTCTCCGGTATATTTTTGACTAATATCTTTAGGTTTTCAGGGGAAATTTTATTAAGTTCTGGTGCTCTTTTTGGTTTATAGAAGTAGTGGCTTCTATTTATTCACGGTGAGTGGCTCAAACTCGTCGGTGGATACTTTAGTCTATCTATTTTTTTTTATCCCAAGAGACAGTTGGTTACCCTTTTTATCTTCGGGTCCTTCGTATGATTATAAGTCGTGTTGAAGTTGCTGATTTGTTTTATCGCTATTCTGTATTCCCCGCCCCAGATGTCCTCGTTTAGTTTTGCTTCTGCTTTCTTCCAGTGTGCTCTCTTTGATATGTTTATGATATTTCTATCTTCTCTTATTAATTTGTTGTAGACTTATTTTGATTCTATCGATCTGTTGCCATTTTTGGTTGTTGATTTTATACAGTCTGTTAGGTTTTTTTCTGTATCATTACCAGCATGGAAAACTTTTGCTTTCGATATTAGCGTATTTGATGATGTTCTTAACTGCCTTTTTAATGTCATTTATCAGTCACGTAACTTTTCCATATTGCCCAACCATCTTTCTATGATTTCGTTGAAAGAATTCTGATCGAAAGTTGCTATTTTGTAGTTGTAGTTTCTTTCTGCGGTATGTTAAATATACTCGTATACTACAATGTGTCTGTGATATTTGTGAAAATTTCCTGAAAGTAGTTCCCATTTTTCTGGCATTGCTCTGATTGTACACGTCACGTATTATATGTAACCTGGAATCGCCAATTATAAATGTGTTGGTTCGCCTGTATTTAAAAATGTTAAATTTAATTCAGCTGCCCATTTTCCAAGGTATTTGCCTCTTCTGTATGCTTTTGGTGATCCCCAAAGTGGTGATTTAGAGTTAGGTCTTCAGTTTTTTGATTCCCTAGCTTCCTTCATAATCCCGTCCAGTATTTCGTGATATTCCTGTAACGTGATGTTTGGAGATATGTAGCAGCAGTACAGCTACCAGAACCCGAAATCTTAGTTAATGTATATAAGTGTTTATAGTTTGTACTGCTATTTTTCCATTTTGTCCCAAGATGAGACCCTTACTTTCGGCATTTTTTGTTCGGTTCTGATATTACAATGAGGTCAATTTGTTTATCCATGGCTACCGCAAACATAATGTCGTGTGCCACCCTCCCTTTCTAAGTTGGTAACAATTAGTGTGTATTTTTTTTATTTTAAATTGTTTTTCCTTTTTCATATGGATAGGTACGTAGAAAAAGGTCAATAGGTAACCCTATTAAATACCAAACATGTTAATTTATAGCCAACAAATGATACACGCAAAAACAACTTATAATGATCATTCTTGGTACTACCGCAAACAAACTGAAGCGTAAGTTTATATTTAACGACACTTTTTTTAAATTTAATTAAACTACGACCAGAACTTGCAAAAAAATGACTCACGCAGGTATACATAAAGTATAATCACCTACACAGCGAATCGGCCATTCAGGTCACTATAACTTCGCTAAGCTGCAATTTGAAGACTGTTACGCCGTTAAGCGAGCCAACACAGATTTTTGAAATACTTGTAATCAAGATCTTCGGGTTGTTGATAAAACCAGGACGTCGGCGGCATTTAGAGACAGTGCGTAGCAAATCGTATCCACGTGCGAATCTTTAAAAAAGTTTGCAGAAATGAATGTATTCGTGAATTTATGTATTTTGGGGCTGATAGGGTTTGGGTGCGCCGAGGAGGGGAGGGACTATTGGGGGGAGGTATTTGTGTACAAGGATGCGTTGGAGTTCATGAGAGGGTGCGGTAGTAAGGAACTGAGCTTGTGTGTTAAGGTAAAATATAATATTATAGATTACGCAACTAACGAAATAGATTTATAATCTTTAGTTTACAGGATTGTAGGATTTTGTTGTTATTCGAAAAAATTCTCTATTTCAATGTACGAGTACGATGAAAAATATTTAGTATCACAACACAGAGAAAAATTTGTGCTTATTTTAAGCACAAAATAAGCATTTGCGGGCTTATTTTTGAGCCAAGCATGCCGCAATGTTTTTTAAGAAATTTTTAAGCACTCATGTTAAAAAATCGTCTCTAAATGAGTAATTAAATTCTTCAATTAAATACTTATATTCTTATTTCTAATATTTAAAATAAAAATTGTTCAAGATTGATTTTATTATCAAGATTTTAATGTTCGAATCTGATGCTTAATTTAAGTTTATTAACTCTTACGAATAAAAATGCTAGGTGATTCATTTAAGTTTGGACGTTCTTGGTTTTAGAGCGATAGCTGCCCTTATAAGGGTAGCTGTTAAAGATGGAACCAAACCTATAGTGCTTAAACGGTTGAACATACAGAACCCAAAATTTCAGAATTTCAACTAAATATATTTGCGCATATTTAAGCTCAAAAATTATTTTTTTATAATTACAAAATTTGAAACATGGCCGCCATCTTGATCTTTTTAAATAGCAACATAGGTCATGTGATATACCATTTGAAAGGGTTTAACACCCTGATTACAAAAATGTATGTGTCAAATGCACAGCATTCTATGCTCCCTATTAATAATATCATTTTTGTTGTGTTTAGACCCCATGTGTGATACATTTTGCAATAAGGGTGTTAAACCCTTTTAAATGGTTTTTAACATGACCTATGTTGCTATTTAAAAAAATCAAGATGGCGGCCAAGCTTAAAATTTTGTAATTATAAAAACAATAATTTTTGGGCTAAAATATGTGCAAATATATTTAGTTGAAATTCTGAAATTTTGTATTTTGTATGTTGAACCGTTTAAGCATTATAATAATAATTTGAATATGTAGCGTCCTTAACTATAGTATTCTATTTCTTAATGTAAGGATTAATTTGATAATAGATAAATCTTGAATTAGGAATTATTTTGATTCTTTTGATTATTTTGAGGAAGCTTAAATAAAGCACGTTCATTATTGTTCGAAGTATGCGTTATACTTAAAAGGAATGACTTTACGAAAACACAATAATTTATAAATTTTAAATTTTTTTTTACAAAAAGAGGGCTGTTTGAAGTACACTTTATTAGCATACGTTTTTGATTGAAAAATTAATGCTTTTATCGGAATAAAATTGTTAAAAACACTTAACGTTACATTCTTTTCTTTTTCTGGTTGAATCAGTAAACTTTTGATTTGAAGCTTCATTTTAATACCACTTTTGAAAAAAAAAATAGGAATATAAATTCAGGAATTAAAGCAAATTTGAAATAAAAAAGTTCGATTGTTTTCGTAGTGAAGGCATAAATATGCCCTTAATTAAATTTAGTTTAAATTCAGCAATACTTTGTAGGACTAAAAAAAGTATGATTGAATGTTATTAAAATATATTAGAATATATTAAAAACACAAACAAATTAACAAACAAATTATACTTTAATAATATTTTTCTTCCGATGACAGCGAAAAGAGACACTCCTATTTTTTTGACCGCTATTTGTAGTTGGGTGTAGAGGAAAGGGTAAACAAGTTGTACTATATCCAGGCGGGGGAAGCTCTCGTGTTACCTAGTAAATTCAAAGTAATTTTAAAGGGTGGTTCACCATATGGTAAGGAATTTTGTGTCTAAATTATCAATTTTGAAAAAAAAAAAACTTTGGGTACATGTAAGTCAAGTGTGCTACCGATTATTTTGATGTGGATGTAGCTGTGAGCATTAGACTATATAAGGTTCTTGGGTTCTCCTAACCTTAGTTAAAGGTCGGGCCAGAATTTAAGATTTCCCATACCTAAATGTAAATGAAATTATCAATCAAATTTAATTTTAACTTCAATAAAGAAAATAAGAGATACCATGTTATGTTATGTTGAGAATGGGGTGTTAATACACTGCGACCTAAAAGATCTATTGTGTCCCCTTCTGTCGCCACTGCACTAAGGAAATGTTTCAATATAGTGCCCTTGGATTCTGGAGTGCTACACATTCAGTTAGGATGTGAATGGAGGTTTCGTCCTCCTCCTCACAGAATCTGCACTCACTATCCTCTACTACTCTCAATTTACTTAGGTGTCCTTTTAGTCGGCAATGCCCGGTAAGGATCCCTGTTACAATACGTAGCCTGTTCTTGCTCAGGCAGATGCAGGCTTCCGATCTTTTCTGGTTATATTTACCCAGAAGTAACTTGGCCTGTCTCAGCCCCAAGATATTGTTCCAATTATCGGTTCTTCTACTACCCAATTCTTTAATCTCTCCTAATATTATGTTACTGCTATACCGCAGAACGGCTCAGGTCCTACAAAGGGTGTTTGAGCCCCTTTCCTTGCAAGACTATCTGCAATCTCGTTACCCTGTACCCCGTTATGTCCCGGGACCCAAGTGAGAGTAAGAGAGTAACTCTATTTTTCTCGCCTAGCTCATTCAATTGTTCTAGACATCTCCAGACCATTTTTGAGCTAATTACGTAAGAACTCAGCGCTTTGATGGCTGCTTGACTATCGGACATGATGATAATCTCTTGTCTATGATAGTTTCTCTCGGTGTTAAACTGGATACACTTCTCGATGGCGTGAATTTCCGCCTGGAAGATACTTGGGTATTTTCCCAAGCTTTCGGAGTGCTTGGTTCTCGGCCCATACACTCCTATTCCAGTTCCTTCTATGGTTTTGGAACCGTCCGTATACCACTTAATAGCACGTCTTTCGATTGCCAGCGCGATGGATTCTTGGCTCCATTCGTTCTTGCAGCCCAGCTCTGTGGTTTTGAAGTTTTTCACAAAACTGTACTTCTTCTGCATTTCATTCTGGGGCATGTCCCAGGTATCTTTAGTCCTGAAGCAAGTAGACTTTCATCTGATTACTCCATTCCTGATCATTTTATATCGTGTCCTTTTTGCCACATTCTCTATCATCAAATGTAAAGGGGTGAGTTTTAAGATCACCTCCATTGCGGCCGTAGGACAGGTTCTCATTGCACCAGTAATGCAAACACAGGCTAGTCTTTGTACTTTTTAGCTCTCGTAGTAACTAAACTAGTTCTGCTACTTCAGGCTATAGCCCCGTAAGTGATGATTGTTCTCACTATTGCAGTATGTTTGGGTTACATCCCCATCGTTTACCTGCAATGTTTTTGCGTACCATTAGGGCTTTTGTGGCCTTATTTACTACTTCTTTCTCATGCGTGTTCCAGAGAAGTTTGTTGTCCAGGGTTAGGCCTAGATATTTGACTTCATTTTTCCATTATATATCTATCCCGTCTAATTTAACGGTTTTGAGATTAAGTTTTCTTTTCCTTGAAAAGGCTACTAATGTTGTTTTTGTAGGGTTTATACTGTCCCACTTCACGGCACCATCTTTTGGTATGTTTTAGTCCTCGTTGGACTATATCACACAGGATATTACCAAACTTGCCACTAGCAAATATGACTATGTCGTCAGCATAACCTTGACAGGGTATGCCGAGGTCAGTCAATCTGCATAGAAGTTCGTCTACGATTAGGCTCCACATTAGTGGGGATAGAACTCCTCCTTGTGGACATCCTCTGGTTGTGCAGATGGAGATGGTGTCCTGCCCTATCTGTGTCTCTGCAGTTCTCGTAGATAACAGCTGAGCCATCCATCTGGATGTGGTGTTATCTACTCATCTGTATGCAAGTGCTCTTTTTACAGATTCGTGTGGCGTGTTGTCAAAAGCTCCTTCTATGTCTAGGAAGGCACACACGACCGTTTCTTTGTTTGTCAGTGCATCCTGTATTACATCAGTCAACTGTACCAGGGCTGTTTCTGTAGATCTTTATGCTCGGTACGCGTGTTGGCTGTGGTGGAGTGGCACCCTCTCCACGACGTCTGTTCTGATATAATTATCAACAGCCTTCATTGTTTTTAATACAAAGGATGTAAGGCTGTTTGGACGGAAAGATTTAGGATGTGTGGTATCCTTTTTCCCTACTTTTGGAATAAAGGTGACTTTGGCCCTTCTCCATGCTTCTGGTATATATCCCAGCTCCAGACTGCTCCGGGATAGCCGGATTATGTGTAGTAGTAATTCCTCTTGTGCCTGCTAGGAAGCAGGACAGGAAATATTCCATCCACACCTGGAGACTTAAACGGTTCAAAAGTGTTTACGGTTCACCTTAACCGATTTCTGCTGCATATGTGCTTGGCCACTTTTTACCATAAAGTATCTCATGTAAAACTTTGTTCCAAGTTTTTCTCGGTCAAGCAGTTTTAAACATATTCTGTGTGCTACTTTTTTAAATACTTTATGGGACATGTAGAAATTAATGAAGAAAACGGTTTCTTATTATTACTTTTTAAAAATTGTACTCTTCATTCTGTATCTGTCACGTATGGAGGGTGGGTTATCTCATGGCACATAGGCCTCAATAGGCTCATTGTGCATCCTTTTAAGATGATAGGCGCAAGCCTACAGATTTAATGTATTCGATAAATTATATCGGCCGGTGTTAGCCGATACTCTCCGAACACAAATATTTTAATAAATAAGAGCGTCGAGCAATCGTAGAGGATATGCTCGAAGATCTCATCTTCTTCTTCGCACTTCCTGCAAAGTGCGGATTCTGATAGCTCCATGATTATAGAGATGCTTACGTACCTGGCAATGACCAGTCAGAATGCTTGTGACCAGGCGCAGATTCTATCTAGACATAGTCAAGTATATGTTTGTTGTAGTGTTGTCAGGATAACTTAAAAGGTTACTGGAAACTGCAGTTTCTTGTTTCATCCCATCTTTCGCTGAATTTCACAAAAAAAAGTTTTTTAACTAGGTCTATCACTACCGATTTTGTTAGGTCAATAGAAGGAATAGGTCCAAAAAGTATATGTTTGGCTGCCT